TCCTACAAGGCACAACGTAAGAACTAACATCTAGGAGAAAGTGAGTAGTAAATTAATTAGTGCATTATCGTTTAAACTCACCATAGTACCTATAGGTATGCAATTACGTATGCAGTCATTTTGTGACAGGCTTTGGAAAAAAGTCATAATTTTAGAATAAAGTGACCCCTTAGGCAACACAACATACACCTAAGTAATAAAGAGATGACATTAGCCGTTATAAACATTCGTTGACGTCCGCAAGACATCATTACAAGAGAAGTTAGTACAACATTTGCAATGCGCTACAAAGAAACTGTGAATTGTTATAACTTTAAAAACGTAATACAGTTTTACAATTCATGTAACAGAAATATAAAATATGTTATAAAATTTCGCACATAAAGTACATTAGTTAACTCTGTAAAGGTGTTATGTTCCTTACTTGTAAAAACAAAAAGCCATTAAGTTTAACTAATTATAACTTTATAAGGAATGTGTAAAAGTTGGAGAAAGATAAGATCAACACTTTATAATGTTACGCATGCACACCCGTGTAATCCCTAAAGTAAAAGCACGAAACCACAACAAGTATCTTAACTTCTCCAACCAAAGCAACTTTATACATCATCATTCCACTCTTATGTATAAATACACAGTAAGTATACTATCCATTATAATAAAACGTGAAAGAGACGTACCATAATCAAGTTGCCCTACGGCCATGGTGCCCTCCGCTTTAGATATGTGAAACTTCTAAATAACTTTTGAAAGTTAGTCCTAGTGAAATTCCTAACATTGTACCTATTCGTTGTTTGACTCCTTCAAAACATACTTCCTGCAAAAATTTGCATGACAATCCTTTATGCCTTGCAAGCTTTGAATGCTAATTGTTTATTTCACATATCCTGCGACGGACAGTAATGGGATAAACAAAATAATTAATTGAAGGGAAGTTTATTTATGTCATTCGCAGTATGTACGGTCATTCAACATGTAAGTGAACGAATGCCTCGTGGAGTTATTGATTATTTTATAAATCCATAAACTAGGATTCGGAATGAAAGCACGTATAACATTATTTAAAATGGATCGTGATTTTAATTTATATGATCCCTATTTTACGTGTCTTTAATACAGAGATTTATGGGCACCTCCTTCGGTTTGAAATTTTATCGCCTCCAATTTGTACCTCGCCCTCATAAAAAAATGTACACTACACTCTTTTAACCGCCCGATGACGTGTACAGAATATTACGTGGCCTCATTTTTAGGCAGCTTTCTGTGCTGACGTTGTAAATTGCCCTGGTCTCTTGCACCCTTAAACAGAAAGTTTAAATCACCATAATTCAAATAAAAATGAACCGCCCTTTTTATACTCATTCGAATTATGTATAATGCTAGATTGATTTACATTGGCGGTTATTACGCTCAGCTGAACAATCACAAAGTTTCATAACCGCCTTTTTGGCATTGAGGTTGGGTAGAGCGTAAACATCTCAGACAGCTACGGATGAAAACTTATCATAACATCGGTTGAATAGTTTAGATTCCACAATGCACTGTGAGTAATTAAGTATAAAGTTCAAGTTAAGGAAATTTCTCTACACTATCCTCACCATGGATAAACTTACGTTATGAATGTAGACCCGCGCATAAAGCATAAATTAGAAAATAATGTAAACTGCTTCGCTTCATATAAAATTTGAAAACACGATCCAGTAAATCCGCGTAATGGGAGAAAGTGTGATAAAACAGGATCATTTCGTACTTAGCAGGTATTGAAATTGCTCCATGGTTACCTATCTTGTTTAGTGTAACGTCGTAGGTGAGTACGTACCGGGGCAGATGCAGACTGTTGAATGTTGCGTTTTACATTGCTTTCATACTACATGAGCTTTTTACGACCGCATATTTAGTTGGCATTCCTTTTTCATATGAAAAGTTATCCTGTATATAATCCATTCATTGATGTGTAAAAACTATGAAGCGGATCATAGTACTTGGATGTTACTTCTACTAAATTATGGATAAGTGAGTTTCAATTATAAAGTTATATGCAAGGCACATATTTATGTCATGCTATTAAAGAATAAAATAAGGTCGGGGCCCGTAACGTTACGTTTTTTTAAGTGTATAGTTTGGAGTGTCTGACGAATGCGTCTCAGTCATGGACATATCATAAATGGACTGCGCGTATACTGCAGGTGGAAGAGAAGAAAAAACTAAAAGGGCAAGCTGTCTCTTATGGTTACGCACCTGATTGGTTCTTTCAATTTAATTTGAATGAGATCGGCTTCGCCTCGTCAAAATACCTTCAGTCTCAATGCGCGAAAATGAACTTCGCGCTCTTGTTATATAAATAACTATTTTCGCAGTGATCCAATTATTGGACTTTTTTTTTGTCAAAAATCGTATGGAGAGTGTTACTTTTTTTTACTATGCGTTACCATGACGTTTAGTCCTATCTTTGAACAATAGTATCAGCTGTTTTGAGTGACAGTAAATCGCGAATCTGAATGATATTAAACATATATCATATATGTTTTACTTTAATTACCCATCTTTCTTTTACTTATATCGCAATCCGAAACCCATTTATTAATGGTTTAGGTAAGTTTGAATTAATTTGATTTTAGTCTGATATTGGTAGTGTAGTTTTTGTATCTTTCGTGTAACGAGCATTAAAACAGCCCTATCGACAAAGTACCGTTCTCTTATGAAATGCTAAAACGAGTTCACGAACATATTATTGATTAACACATAGTGTTTCAGTTGTGCGATGCAGTACGTGAAATACCGGAACTACCAAAGTGCAGGTAAGTGCCTTCGTCGTGTCTTTTCCCTTACCGTTGTCGTACATTTTTGGTACTGTCGTGATTATTATATGAAATAAAGAAGTTGCAAATGTGCAATTAAGTGTAACATTCTTGTCACTTTTCTTTTGCCATTGTCGTTAATGTTAACGCTAGATAATTCCGTTAGATAGCTAATTTACTTATCTCTTTATCTGTAAAGGAGGTTAGATGAAGGTATAAGTAGGAAGACAATGTTGTTCTGATAATTCGCATTTAGTTAAGTGTAACCCAAATTACAAATTTGAATGCTTTAGGCGACTAAATACTTCTTTGCGAAGACAGAGTATTTATTATACTCATCAGTGCCTGAGGATCTGCAAAGAATAAGAACGCTACGTCTACGCCAAGCATCGGGCATTCAGTCCTATTTGTTTTGTTGAAGACGTATTTCGTCGGGTTCGAAGTCTGCTTAGAACCTTTATAAACGGTTTGTCTTTCATTAAAAGTTATGTTTCTATCGTTCGAGCAGCCACCGAAGATTTATTCATTCTTCAACCCAGATTTTGTCATCAAGTTCAGTGTTATTAAGACCAAGTGCAGTTTTCAGAAACTGTTAGCGTTTGTGTGACTTTAGTGTGACTATATCACAGATCTGTTACAAGATTATTTGGATTATTGAAAAAAACTATTATTCAAGATTTTTTATTTTTAATTATCGAGTGCGTGCGTGCGGAGTAATACGTCCGAACAAGCTTTGTAAGCTGTCTTTCTTTCAGGGATTTTGTTCTAATTATTTCATGTATTTCGAAATAAATTTGTTTGATTGTCAATCAATTAATTGTTTATTCGAATTTTCTTGGATAGGACATACGCTCGGTTTCGATTACCAGTGCTGGCTTTAGACCGTCGAAATTAAACAAGCTCACTCCGTAGTTAATTACATCACAGTTCCATTTACCAAGACCACGAGTTTACACTAAAAAACAATGTCACTTATTTGTCACGTCTTTGATTTTTCCTGATGAGTGCATTGCAATTTCCAAAAATACCATTAACACCTTTACATAACGGTATTGCAAGGTTAACTTTTCGAATGCATTTTGGAAAAAAACACGTTCTTAATTGTACTGTAAAAGATATACTATCTAATTCCCGTTAGTCTTCAATCGTTCACAGACACGTTAACACGTATCATTACCAATTTTAACATCTAAAGTTTACGCGATTATAGTGATATAATTATCTGTGCATCCCTTCGCGCGTAAATATTGTGTGTAAATTTGGGAAAAATAAGGATAAGGAACACCATTATAATATGTAATCGATCAATCAGAGCGCGAGTACACGAATTATTTTCAATAGGTCAAGGACCCTTTCTGTAAACGTTTCAAGTTGGGTCGCATTCAGCCATTATAGTTTAGTTGCTGTACAATTGTAAATATTTAGTTAATTTGTGTAGGTATATATTTTCCAATCATTATATTACTTATATTCTACCACGCTTTAGTTAATTAATTAGTGGTGGACCTGGATCTCCGATATCGAGCTACCCAGAACAGCTCCCTGTGTTCCTGAAGGTAGTCAACCCAACATACACAGGTTGTCTTGACGAACAGGAGATTGTGTAGGAGGGAGGTTTTAGACGTCCTAGAGGCTAAGGGTATCCTGTAACTGCCAGGAACGTTACACACTTAAGACTTCTAGCATCAGGTAAGTTTTAACTGAAGGATGATCATGGTACACTGTACTTGCTTCAGTAATTCGATTATTTCGTTTATCTATTTCAAAAAAATCACAGAATTTTCATCTTAGCCCTTCTTCTAAATCGTTGTACATTTCAAAAGCTATCAAACATGCTGACTCTAAAAATTGACCCTTGCTCTCCCTTGAAAGCGAAATCCGATTGTACTTAAACAAAAAGAACTTTACATCTGTGTTTGGCAATATCTAATGGACGATAAGGATTCCGGAACTATTTCATCTAAAGTTATAAAATGGCCTACAGCTAAACCAGAAATTTTTATTATTTCGAAAGAGCGAAGCACTTAGCAGTAAATTTAAACTTTTAGGATTAATTTGATTGCGGCAAGAGTTCATTTAATTTATTAAACTAAAAGTGCCTGTAGTCCCTAATGCATCCTAATTACTAATAAGGCAATAAAAAGCTAATGCGTTAGTGTAACATCCCATACGCTTATCAAATATAAGTCTAATTAAGTTAAATTTTCATTTATTTGCGCTGTTACAGTCGAAAGATGGAAGAGGACTTTTCACCAACGCCGGATTATGATAAGCACGGGTGGTTTTTAAAAAGTGTCGTTGAAATTTTATTTAAAAGCGTTGTATTCGCGACGAACCGCGATAAAGTTGTTTTATGGAAACATCCGGAGGAGCTTTTAAAAGTTTTCGATTTTTCTCTTCGGCAGACGGGGGTCGCGCAAGATAAGTTATTAACTCTAATTAAAAATACCATCAAGTATAGTGTGAAGACGGGGCATCCTTATTTTGTTAATCAATTATTCTCCGGGTAAGTTTTTAATGAAAATGCTCTGTAGCGAATGTTTGTATAGTTTGGACCCTTATGGGCTCGTCGGGCAGTGGATAACGGATGCCTTAAACGCAAGCCTCTACACTTACGAAGTTGCACCGGTTTTTACTTTAATGGAATCCGGTGTAATTCGTGAAATGTGCGGTATGATCGGTCCCGATTGGAAAGATGGGATGTTTTGCCCTGGAGGTTCTAATGGAAACGGAATTGCGTTGAACTTAGCCCGATTTCGACTGAATAAAAACGTGAAGGTAAAATACTGACTAATAAAGAGATTACTCCTTCCAAATTACAGAGAACGGGTATGTCCCAATCCCCACGACTCGTCCTGTTTACCTCCGAAGAGGCACATTATTCAATACAAAAGTTTGCATCATTCATCGGTATCGGCGAGGATAATGTAATTCTTGTGCAAACGGATAAAGTCGGTAGAATGAAACCCGCGAGCCTGGAAGAGTGCATCCGGAATCAAATCGATTTTGGTGCAACACCGTTTGCAGTCGTAGCCACTTTAGGTAAAAATCTCATCCAAACAACGAGCTGAAGATAATTTGTAGGAACAACGGTTCGGGGAGCATTTGATCCCTTATATCAAATTTCGACGGTTTGTAATAAGTATGGGTTGTGGCTTCATGTAGACGCAGCGTGGGGCGGAGGCCTAATTTTCTCGCAAAAACACCGCGCTAAACTAAACGGAATTGAAACTGCCAATTCCATTATTATAAATCCCCACAAACTTCTGGCAGCACCTCAGCAGTGCTCCATTTTGTTTGTTAAGGACGAAAACATACTCCACGAATGTCATTCTAAGGGTGCCGAATATCTGTTCCAAAAAGACAAGTATTACGATCAGTGGTACGATCCCGGTGACAAATACTTGCAATGCGGAAGGAAATGTGACGTGTTTAAGTTTTGGCTAATGTGGAAGGCTAAGGTATGGATTGCTGTATATAAAAGTCGAGATTAAAAGGGGGCATGTGTTAGGGATCGTCGGGTTTTGCAAAGCACGTCGACTCCATAATGGATGTTGCCGAATATTTTGAAAGGCAAGTGCTGATCCGACCAGAATTTCAATTGGTGTCAAAACGGCAATATATCAACGTTTGCTTTTGGTATTTGCCGCGATACTTACAAAAGAAGAAGGATGTAATGGATTACAGCATGCAGTTACACAAAGTAAGACTCTTACACCATCTGTTGTCACTTTCTGCTGGCTGTTATCGTGTAAATCTGCAACGTTGCATTCGTTTGTAGGTGGCGGCACAGATCAAAGCTGTAATGGTGAAGCACGGATCGATTATGCTGGGATATCAACCCTTGAAGGAGTTTCCTAACTTTTTCCGTTTCGTTTCGCAAAACTCTTCATTGAGTACAAGAGATGTCGATTTCATTTTAGATCACATTGCAGAAATAGGTAATGCAATTTATAATTAAGTTGGCTAACGAGTATTAATGTAACCGTAACATTGAAAAAGTAATAAACTATTACTGCTTATGCGTCCATATTTAGAATGTGGGGATCGTCGCAAATTTACATTCGCAATATAAACATTTGGCTCTAATTCAAAAGAGAAATGTCGCAGCTTACTTATGCGATGTATTATTAATTGCCAATCAACATAATTACCGGTAAAATTTATCGAACTTAATTTGCTTTGAAACTATTTACAGAAGTTAGTGGCCGTCTGCGTTTGTAATAAAGTTAGTGTCAACACAAAGTGGTTACATTAACAGCACAATAAACTTTACCTACAATCAGAACTGGATTCACTAATTGTTGTCTGTGGTCGTATAAATAATTATTCATTACATTCACCACCACAGAAGTATTCCCAATAAATAAAATTAAAATTGTTTCTATTAATTGTGGTTTCTATGTACGTATTCAAATAGAATTACTACAAACAATGCAAAAGAGTGTGTTGACTCTGAGTATTCGGGAACATTATGTCCATAAGGAGATTGCTGCTATTGAGAAGACCTAGTACTTAGTAGCATCTAATGCTTTATAAAACATACGAAAAAGTCTGGAAGCCAGCCTCTCTTATTACAGACCTCTTTTATTGCAGACATCTTGAGAACCCAAGGTCGCATTAGGTTCACCTGCGCCCTCTTGGTTAGCGTCGAGTTGTTAGTGGAAGCCCGCACCTTGTCGGGACTTATTCTTGGATAAAGACGACATTTGAATATGCTAACACTAGAACATGCACGATTTAAGCCACTCTGACGATACATAATCAAAAATGCCAAGTCGGTGCGAATACATTTGATATGGTACTGGCTATGCGCAATTTCATTTTCATGAAATTCAATTCATAAATGACGGAGAGACCATTAATATTGTGTGTTTTTGAATTGAGTGGCATTGCATATTATATGGTGCTAGTTAATCTCAGTATGAATTTCGATTCATAAATGGTCCAGATCCTAAAAGGGCACTGTGAATGTTGAATCAATTATACCAAATTTGTGGCTTTGCGTATTATATGCCGACTTTAATTTTATACAACTCGGTTCATAACTAAGGGAGATGTCAAAAGGGTCTTCCTTATTTTTTTGCCTATATATATAACTCACGAACTCCAACCTAAAAATTTGATAAAAAGTCCACCTGAAACATTTCCTCGCAATCCATCCGCCCTCTTTTAAAACGATGGACATGAAGCTATCGCGAGCGAGCGAGCGATCGTATGATTGTGAGAAACCATACGCGTCGGACTCGCTTAACAACTCGATGGTAAACGTTCCACAGATTCGTCCTCGTACAAAGACAATTGAAATATCTTGTTAGGAACGGCTACAAACGGGGAATTAATTGCAGTTTTATTAATGGTAGCGGCGGCGGCTGAAACTCATCTCTAGGAATTAAGTCCATTACCTTTAGCTTCTTTAATCTTCAACTCAACATAAAAGCTTCTAGGTACTGGGTGTTTAGAAGAGCTGCCAGCATTTAATGCAATTACAGAGAAATACTCCTTTCCAGAAATCTGTTCAAACGGCAGAATGTTCAATCTGAAGAATCTGGACTGAACAAAGTAATTAAGTAGGTAAATTAGGATAACAATTATTGCATAGATTAAGTTACGGTGCGATTTCAGTGCAAGAACGTATCGTTTGCAAATTATAAATGAAATATCACCACTTTGCGCCGTAAATTAATGCACATTAACTATTATGAAATGTTTATTCAACAAGTACATAGTAGGTCACAGTTATTTAGGTACGTAAAGAAATTAATTGTATATAAACCAATAACTGATTAGGAATAAATTTGTATTTAGCGAATACTGTTTACTCATTTGGGGTGTAAGGTTTCCAGTCTTCAATTTGGTACGAGTGACGGTCTGCCACCATACATTTATAGTGATTGTCTATTTAGCAGTGCGACACCAAAACACAAAAATTATGCTGTCATTATTTTTCTTTTCGGGCGACCCTTGAATTGCTTCTATGTTGTTTGGTTTGAGCGGTGCCTGATCCTCATTGTCTGTATAAAGTGTAAGAGGTCCCGAAGGTACTCTACGTCCTCGACACACAGCTTAGCTGACCAAAGTTGCTGTGCGCCATCTACCACCACAATCCCTAGCATCCCTCCCCTGGAACACGAAGATCTATAACCACTTTAGGATCTATTCCATCAATCGTCCACTGCAGGCGTGGATGAGTCACACCACCCAACATAGAAACGCGTCCAGAGCCCTCACGCCGAGAAGGTACAAATTTATATTTTGTTTGTATGTTAAGTGTGTAAAATTTCAGATAAGGCTGTTCTACCAACCCAACCTATTATAGGTTTACAAAAAAATCAATGGGCGAACCAGTGATCCTCAGTGACAGCATTCCACTAGGCTATACAAGTCAACATGTGCGTCGTTACCTAGGTCGTTACGCTAGAGGATGCTCAGTTATGCTCGAGGATACTGAATTTATCACAATTTTGCACGCAGAGTTTTTGAAATGTACGTCTTTGTAGTTTTGTGAATTAAAAAAGTGTTTACCCAAAATCGTCATGAAATCTTCATTTACCCAAAATCGTCACGAAACCGTCATTGTCATGCCTACCTTATGTAGGAAATTCTGGTTTCCATGACCCGACTACTTTTTCTGCCGCCTGTCACATTGGTAATGTCTAAAATGACTCATGCCATCACTGACAGATTGACATTAATGAAAAGTTGTATATAAAAATTGAAAGTCGACTTGCATTGTTCTTGTTTAATGAAGTGAACTGAAGATCATCATCAGAATTCGACAAAAAAAGTTCCCATAATATCAAGATCATACTAGTGTTTGAAAAGTTATTTACTTTATTCTCTTTTATTACCGTCTGTGCTGTTTGATAACATTAACTTTGTTTCGAATGTATTTCGGAAAAATAGGGTTAATTTTAGATTTAAATTGTTTGTAAATTCCTTTTAAATTTTGTCACGTGTGTTTATGAACCCAGTAAATTTAAAGTGTTGTGTAAGTGGGGCAAGCCGACTATATGCTTGAAATTAAATCGTCTGTAAAATTAAATGCAAATTTTGTTTGACGAATAGTGGGATGGCGACCTTATTTTTTTTAATTAGTCCTCTTCTGCGTGACATTTTTAGTATGTCAGACTGGATGACTAGATAATTCACATAGGAATATCTAAACTAGTAGAAGGGTACAGAATAAATTTTGTGGAGTCTCAAATACGAGATGAACCCATGCATGAATCAGAGCTTACCATCAGTTATAGCTCTGCATGAATGCATTTCTCGGAACCTAATTTATGATTGAGGTAAATTATCACGGGACATTCTTTCTTTTTTAAAATAAATATTAGGTAAGTACCTAAAATACAATTTGAGACGGATTTACATTACATTTCAGCGTGGATCACATATTAGTATGCGAAAAATGACAATAATTAATGGGTGATCTCATAATTTTGAAAACGCTTACGGGGAAAAATTCGAAAATTCCCCCCATCACTTTTAATTAATTTTGATTATCACATTCAATTATTTAAAAAAACACAAGTAAGAGGCAGTTTATTTTACCCTCCCTTTCCTGTCACGTTGTACATTTGTTTTTGAATTTCTCGTCACCTTTTAACGCTTCTTTTACTTCCCGTTGCAATTCATTGGTGTTTATAAAAAAGCGTTGTTTCTTGAATAATATTTTTATAGCTTACCGTTTATCGATCGTATTGATCATTAACTTAATTTAATCTGTAATTGCGAACATATGCATGTGCAAAAATAAAACGAAAACACAACATATTAAAATATCGGACGTCTTTCAACAGCAAGACCTTCCTTTAGGCGAATCAGAGCTCGTAAAGTTTCACTTTCACTTGTAAGTAGTATAAATAGGGACGTATTCATATAGCCCGCTTGTTCGCTGATGAGGACAGACGAAATGCGTTCGATATTTTAATATATTATTGTAGTTTATTGGTGTTTTTGTTTTACTTTTGCAAGCTCAACAGCCACAAGTAGTTTGCTTGCATTTTGAGCACCTTCGCATTTTTCCCCAGTAAACGTTGTCAAACTTATAAGGGTAAAATTTGATCGAAAGTATTTTAATTGTGTTTATTTAGTTTTAATAAGGTACGTTCATTTATAACTTAGGGTAGTTATGAGTTAACAAGAAATTTATCTTCTTTGGATAAAATATACAGGATGCTCAGTTGATTTTCTGATTTCATCAATGAAATTGCGATAGAAATTTATTAATTTATATACTTAACCATGTAATTCAACGCTGCATAAGAGTTTGCTGTTTTTTTTAATATATACTGTATACATTGCTTTTTTCATAGGTAGGTTAGCAACTAGTGTTCTACAAAAGTTCATAGTCCAGCCATAAACCAACCGTTCGATGTCTTTCAATATCGGCGGCGTTGTCGGAATTGCAATATGTAGGTGGGAGCTGAATTGCTGTTGGCGTTGTTCCAGTGGAGCATAATGAGCCTCCCCGAAATCATTTGATAATCCTCATTTAATGTGTTTCAGGTAAGGTAGCGCCTAAATGTAAGAGAAACCCCGTTCAAAATTCTTTGAATGAGGGAACCTGAGCTTCAACTAGAGATGATCTATTAGTGCAGGGTTTTAGTAAGAGGACTAGGCCGAAATTTTTGTCCAGCTATCAGGTATGATCTTAATGCTATCCCTTACCTGAATATCTTTTCCGTCGCATTCTGTGAATAAAATGGAAGAGCATTCGTTGCGAACTCCTCTCAATGAGATACCTACTCTACTAAAAAAGTTCAGTTTTACAGAAACTTCTACACGACCAGTCACAGTCAGGCTGCAATCCATCATGCCACCCCTTATAATTTTTGGATTCGACAGAGCTCGGGCGCGAGACTAAGATGCAATATAAAAACTCGTGTTGAGCTACTAAATTTGAATTTCCATAAATGTACCTCTAAAGCGTTAATGTTGAATAACCAAAATTTATACTTACAAAATATTCAGTAAATCAGTATTTTCATACAAGGTGTTCCAGCAAAAATGTATACTACGATAATGAATTATTATCATGAATATTAAGGCGATATAGAGGTATATTTATTAAAATGTTTTTCGCTGGTCATTACGAATTTGTCCATTGCGCTTTAATATGGAGCTGAGCTGCGGCGACATGCCCTGGTATCGTGGTATCTCAGAGCTGAAATGTCTTGCAACCAAGATTACCCAGTGCCGAAGCGTTCGTATGCGCCTGATTGCTAGCCCTAAGCGTTGATTTCAGTGGGACGTTTTAGTCAATAGCGAGTTTACAGTGAATTTGTAGCACTTTTGTCCGACGATTTCCTTAGAAAAAACTGCCCCTTATACTATTAAAATAATAATCTCTGGCACCTAGTAGGTATACAATTTAGAGCGTGACATGTTCACCTTAAACTGAGATTTACTCCCTTTTTACACAAGATTTAATTAAAAAAATTCTATTGCGTAAACAATTGCTTCGACAAAAAAACATGAAAAAAGATTCATGTATAGAAGTTGTAACTAGATTGTCGTGAAAGTGGCTTTTGCTGTTGAGCTATAAAATATTGCCATATTTTGTATTTAAACAGTTGCGAAACATTTAACAGAGATTATAATTACCTGGTACTTTAGCATTAGCACTGAAAGAAAACAATTGATTTCAGTTTCACCACATTCGACCTTTAAACACTGCCTCTGACTTTAGTCCTTTTCTAATTCTTTGAGCAATGCGGTCAAAAATAAACAAAATTATCAAAGAACTCGTGTGAGATCGAAGCGACTTTTTTGTGTGGCAGATCAGTATTATATTAACTAGTTCCACAATCAATAAGATCTTGTCGAAGGCTACCACATTCCCTTTGTCGGTATCCGCGTCCGACGTTCCGTTGACCCATTTTGGTGCATTTCGTTGAAAACCCTCCACAAAACAGTACTCAATTTTCAAGCACTTCTCAAAGCTAGAGACACGTGAAAGAGAGAGCGCCATTTGAGTTTTAAGTAACTTTTGGGCGCCCGAAGTTGATTACCCCTCGAAGGCGCGCTTTGTAAGAGGTGGTTAATTGCGCCCCTAGGAAGAATAAAACCAAAATTCCGTCACGTAGGAGTTGTACTCGTTTACAAGATCTTTCCGACGACACCAAAACTGTAGAAGAAAAAACTGAAAAACCACGTTACCGCATAACACGCTCGAGGATGGCGCCCAGATCTCGCCGACCCAACATCATGTAGCCTCGTCACTCAAGTTGTGAATTACACCCTTGTAGGTACATGTAAACTCCTACTCTTTTTACAATCATTCTTCTAAGGGCCCGCATTTCCTGCCAGCCACCCAGCCGGCCAAAATGCGATTAAAAGCTACCTTTTTACAAATAAATTTGCAAAAATGCGCTAAAAAGCGACTGATCATGAATCTGAACCAAGAGCTGTGGCCCAAACGAATCTACGGATCAGAATATCTTGATCCATCCAATTCTCATTCTTCAATGGTAATGTTTGGAATTTGAATTTCAATTCCATCTCAATAAATGCTTTTGTATTTTTCAGGAGTAGGGGTCAGAAAATGTAATGGTAATGCGCTACTCTGGGGTGAAAAATACACGACCTCTTCATGTGCTTATGAACAATTACAACTTCTGTCAAACTGGCTGCCCGTGTTGGAAAGCACT